TGTTTCAAAAAAAAAAAGAAAAAAAAAAAGAAAAAAAGAAGCTGTTTGTGTGTGTGTGTGTGTGTGTTTGTGTGTGTATTTTGGAGAAGGGCGACAGCCCAGAGATACATCCATGAGTGGCCAGCCCCAAGTTTTTAATCAACCGAGTTTTGAATCTTCCAGCCAGGGCCACCCTCAGGACCACACCCATTTGTGTGTGTGTTTGGGTCTCGCTCCACTACTGTCCACTGTACAATTTTTCGGACAGTTGGTGGACAGTTGTCAGAGCGAAAAATTGTACAGCGGACAGTGGAAAATGCGACATCGCTCCACTTACTGTCCGCTGTCCACCTCAAATTCGTGGCTTCAGTACCAGACACAGTGATAGCACCACAAGACAGGACGTCCATAGGGTTTTGTCCGCCCAAACTCCAGGTGCACTGTCCAAATTTGGGTCCTCAGGGTGAGTCCCTTGAAGGACTTTCCGCGTAACGAATTTTGCAGGCTGGGAGCTGTACATTCACGGACAGTAGATTCTCGACGGGGTTTCTAAAAACTGTCCAAGCCATTTTGCACATGTACAGTGGACAGTAAGTGGAGCGAAGTACGACTGCTCGTTTTTGTACAGTGGACAGTAGTGGAGCGATACCTTTTGTGTGTGTATTTTGGAAAAGGGTGTCATGTTAGCGCTAGGTTACCGCAGCGCTAACGCGAATGCCTGCAGTGCTTTTTTGTGGAGCTGTGTTTCCCTAAACCCAAAACCAAGATTTGAGAGAAGAATATAGCATAGTTTTCAATTAAAAAAAAAGAAGAAACCCAACAAGTCCACCCGTTTGTCTTCCGTGCACGTCGTGAGCAGTGCAGCAAGGCCCTTATGGGGTAAACGGGGCAAAGGGCCTTGCTGCCCTACTCTCCACATGCACAAAAGACAAAAAAGATGGCAATGTATCTTTCCATGTTCTGGCGGTGGACTCGGTTTCATTTTGCACATTTGGAGAGTAGTGCAGCGAAGCCCAAAGTTAGGGCCTCGGCACATCACCGTTGAATAGGGCAATTTTTTGACACTCGTCAGAATATTTTCAAAAGTTACTGATTCGACGGTGTGACCCACCTTGCCTACACAGCACCGTCGAATCGGCATGGTGCCAAGCTAGCTGTTCGGACAGCCTCACTAGAAAACACCGAAATTGTCATCTCGGCCTCCATGACAGCTGTCGAAAGTAGACTACTTTTCACCAACCCTCTCGAGCCCTGTGGAACTTTGGGCCTCCGCCGGCGGGCCTTTTGTAGTTGGAACCAGAACCGTCAAAAGGCTTTTTTGTTCTGCCAGGTGGCGAACCACCTCCGACAGGTGTAGATTCCACAGCCTGTGTGGCGAAGCGAGACAGTCGTAGAAAAAACCATTTTCGACTGTGGTGTCGCGAGGCCCTTAGAATGGATATTCCACTGGACGATCTAAAGATACACCACGGTAGTTTTTTGTCTTTTGTGCATCCCCAAGTGCTTGTGGTGTCTGCTTTTACCAGCACCACCAGCAATGGAGGGAGGAAAAAAAAAAAAGGAGGCCCGCTGCCTGTAGAAAGAGACAAAAAGAAACGAATCTACGGGAAGCAAACTAACGAATCAACTGAAAAAAAAAGCCTGCGAATCTACTGGGAAAGAAAAAAGCAATGACTCTACGGGTCCCGGCGCTATGTTCTTGTATTCGAACATCCGCCGGAAACGACAGGGGGGGAAAGAAAAGATGGCACCGCCCCGACAGGAACCCCGCCCCACACAGCCAACGCGGGCCCATCAGGGAAAAGTCCCGCGAGCCCCACGTTTTCCTTTGTAGGAGTAAGAGATGTAACAGTTGTCTATTCTACTCTTTTTTTTTTTTTTTTTTACTATTCTTCTCTTCTCCGTTGTCTATTCTACTCCTGTTTTTTCTTTCACTATTATTCTCTTCTCCTCCTCCCCATCAGTTTCCTTTTTTTATTTTTTATTTGGACCTTTTTTTTTTTTACCAAGCAATCTCGCTCCTTTTTTTGTTACCCAATTTCGCTTACGGCCCAACACGGTGAATCAGTCAAGAAGTACTGCTAATCGATGAAGTAAATCCTGCCCAACTAACTTCAACCTATCAAATTCACCAGAGTTCCCAAGACAGATCCACCATACAGAAAAGCAAAAACCAATACCAAAGGAGAGGCCCGTCGGACCAGCTAATAGCCATGAGGAGCCTGGGTTGCTGTGACGAGGTTCCCCACCTTGTACCCTTGGACCTCTGTACGAGCTGCCGTAATTCCAGGCACCCCAGATCTCAATGGGTACAACCCAACTTTGTGCTCGTCAGCTAGATGCTAATCAATCGTGCCCTGAGTAGCTCAGCTACGTTGCCACAACTACAAGTAGGTTTCCCACTACCCCCAGCGGTTCCGTTGCCTGCTACAGACAAACCCCAAACTGCCAACCAAACGGACCAGAGCTAAAGCAAGGAGCATGCTTGAGAGATAGCACGAAAGAACCCCTGTATGAGTGAAAGGAAGGCGCTGGGTTACCAATCAAGTCTACGACCAGACCAAAATCAACCAAATAGACAAATTCCAGCTACGAGCTAAGTTCGCCGCCCTGGGCTCTTCCGTTTCCTACAAGCAAGAGGCGTGTGCAAAAGTGCACACTGCAGCGGCACAGCCAGAGATAGAGGGGAGCAGGGATCTGGCCTATAAATCCGATCAGATACGAAATGTAAGAAATGTAATAAGACCACTTCCAACTTCGAGTTCATAGGAGAGTCATGCTGAAATCCGAAATAGGAACGGGATCTGGCTTACCAACTCGGCCACCTGCAGAGAACCCGAGCTACAGAATACACTCCCACCCTTGCACACCAAGGGCACCAATATTCCCGACGTTATAATTGCCACTAAGAGGAGGGAGGAAACCCTAAAACATGAAAAATACGCTGTTATTGCTTAAAAACCAAGTACTGATATTATGGGCCTCGTTAGACCCTCCTTGGAAAATCCTCGGGAATTAGGATGAAGTCCTTGGAAAATTTTCCGGTTTTCGGTGTCATCGTTACACCCCGTCCTAATTCAATGGGTCCCAAGGAAAACCCTTGGAGGTCTCCAGCGGCCAATTTCATACGCATACACGCGGCCGTGGGGGTGGATGTCCGTCATCGTGCTGGGATGTCCCTGCGTCCTCGGGTGTGGTCCAGTGACGGCGGCAGGGAGGCCTACTGTGCTGACGAAAAAAAAGGGCACCAACATCCCCGTTCCAATTTCAAATTTCGAACCCTCCGTTATGACACATCCGTGTGTGAGGCGTCCTGGCGGCTGGACTGGAGACTGGGGTGAAACGTCTGTGCAGAGGAGTGATGGCGGCCATGGCTTAAAAGGAGGGCATTGGAATGTTGGGCGACGTAGCGTGCATGCGTAACGGTTCTCTATTGTGACGTCGCCTTCGTGTTCCGCATGCGCTTCGGGCCGTCACAACTTAGCGCGAACGTAACGCTTCCGTGAAACATAGAGAGTGCGAGCGCGATCCCCATCGACGTGCAAAAGGTGCAGCGAGGGCGCTGGCGGGCGAACGAGTGGTGGGTGCTTGCGCATTGCAAGTCCTGACGATGGAACGAGAGCTCCCGGGTGGTGCGAAGGCATTAACGACATTGGAGAGAAACACGGTGGTCGCAACTGTGATCAGTCGTCCCGATGCGTTATCGCATTGAGAGAACGACAACTCGCTTGAGGATAAGACTGTTCATTCGCAGGCAGAGGCAGCTGATGTAACAAGTGATGGATGCACCCGATTGTGTGTCGTTATCGGAATCCATTGTGCAATTCTGCTGCGCCATGGCATCGAGTGTGATCCCGCCGACGATGCCGAGATGGTGGATGAGGAGAAGGACGGGAGGGATATGGAAGGATCTTTGACAGGTTGACGACACGGCGGAGGGCTACTACAAGGAGAAGTTGCGGACTGGAGTAGTCAATGGCGAGTGGCGACTGTCTGCTGGAGGTTTCCCGCCTGTCAATAGTCGTCTTCCTCACCGTTTAGTGTTTTTGTCTGCTGCCAGGACCCCGCACAACGACGCAAGCGTGGAACAACACGACAAGGAGCAAGAGAAGAGTGGTCAGCAGAAGGAGCGGGAACCGCCGGAGGACGTCTGCCATGAATCGCAGCATGCGAGGCGTGTTGCATCAATGTGCCCGACAATAGCTGACAAAACACGCTAGACTGCAGTTGACCGACAGTGCTTCAACATCGCTTGTGGAAAAATAAAAAAATTCGACCGTTGGACACCACGGCTGGCGACGCGTGCATGAAAAACCCTGCTTCGTGAAGCGCCTTGCAGCTGAAGAACCACCCCCACGCATTTCCATGCCAACGGTAATAGTGGAAGGCCGTTAGGGCCCCATCGGGTACTGGAGGCCGGCGATGTCAGCCCAATGGACCACGGAAGACCTGTGCACCAACATCGACTCCAAATTTTCCTGTCGACGCTTGCTCCAAAACACTCCGTCAATCACGGTTCCTTGAACCCAAGGGACCTCGCGAGGACCTCTTGAATCCAAGGACGTTTTGGCTGGGGATTCTGAGGAATCCAAGGAAATCTCTCGGGAGCGTTTTCACATTCATTCAAGGAATTTGGTGAATTAGGATGCGGTGTAACGATGCCGATTTCCTAAAAATCAGATTTCGAAGGAGGGTCTAACGAGGCCCTACGTCATACGAAAGATCACTGACAACTGAAACTTATGAAGGCAGACCAGGGAACGACTGAAAACGCCCAAGAATAAGACCACGGACAAAGTCGAAAGTCATGGAGAACTCAACATCGATAATGATTGCAACGACAACAACGGCAACAATAACATCAACAGAGGTGACAGTAATAACGACAACAACGAGAACGTTGACAATGACAACAACAACATCAACAACAACAACGACAACGACAATCATTTCGAGAATATCAACTACAGTGTCTTTGGTGATATATTTGATAGCACCAGCAAAGGAAACGACAACAATAACGGCGCTGCTGGGATTGGTGGCGGCGCTGACAATGATAGCACCAATAACATTAACAACAACGATGATGATGGCGTGGGCTGTAATGACAATGACGATATGAACCGCGACTGCAGTGGGACGATTAGAGCTGTTGGTTGGCAGCGGATGGGCGTGGGTTAGTCGGGGGTGATTGGAGTTGCCCGGCAGGCAACACCAATCAGGAAGGGGCGGTGGTGGGCCCTCTGGCGGGAGGTGGACTGTTTAGTTTTTTCCTTGTCATCCCTGATTTGTGTCTATTGATTACTATGCTGTGCTGGAAGATTGTTTCTCAGAATGGGTAATGAGGATGCTTGTCATTAGGGTTTGGGTCGCTGGGAAATAATCAAGGCCTTTGACCCTGTTGTGGTTCCCCCCCCTTCTTTTGCAGTTGAATAGTCTAGGCTCCGGCGGATGGGAGGAGCAGGGTAGGGAAACGAAGGTGCAGTGTGAACGAGCGGTTAATCCCCTCTTACGAGAGCAATCAATGCTGCTCATCACTACACATCAGATTAAGCACATACACTATAACTCATCACAAATTTTCGATTGTATATTCAAATGATTACCATGTACAGGGACGCTGGACCCGTTTTCCAGCAGGTGCTGCTCCCCACCAATAGCTGGAGCCCTCCCGACAGCGCTAGTGGTGTCTGCTCTTATCAGCACCCCTAGCACCGGTTCGGGTTGTTTCTTTCAAAAAAAAAAAAAAAAAAAGAAAAGAAAAGAAAATGGAATGGATTTTCAATTTTGAGGTAAATAAAAGGCCAAGATACGTGTCCCCTGTATAGCCTTAGGAGTAGTGGTAGGTAGTGAAAAGAAGATATGTTCCATGACATGGCAGAACGCCAGTTAAAAGAAAGATATGTGAGGTGAGAGAAAAATATATGGCTGTCCCCCGATGAGGAGAAGGCAGCTTTGAGGAAAAAAAAAAAAAAAAAAAGTGTAGTCGATGTAACTAAAGTAGGAGTATCTCCATGTAAAGTGGCGCGGTTTCACCCAGTCGACCATACAGCCCGTGCCCTTCGCACTACTGGAAACGCTCCGACCGCCGCCAGAGGATCTCCCACTCCCAAAGGTGGTGCCGTGCCGGTAGAGCTCCAGGTCATGTCTTCACGCTCCTGGCTAAAAAAAAAAAAAAAAAACCAAGATAGTCACTAGTACTCCGTACATGTTTTGGACCATTTCTCAATTTATGTGTGTCATCCTTGCGCAGGGGCCATTTGCTAATCTTCTCCGTATCATTCCAATTTTAACGGATATCCTGAAGGACAGCAATGTCAGCTTCCTTTTTTGCAGTTTTTTTTGCTTTTTTGTTTTTTGTCCAGATTTGAGGGGGATGGTGGGGCGGAGCTGGATATGCTGCCATCCTTACCTTTTCTTTTTTGTGTTCTCAATGCAAGCTGCTCCTCTTTTTCCCAGGGCTCCTACCGTACTGGAGCATGCTCGTAGTCTTCACAGCCTTCTCCAGCTGGCTAGCTATTTGTTGCTGCTGCCTCTAGTTGGTTAACTACCTGCCGTCTTTTTATGTTTTGGGGAAACTACGCAGGAGTCACAAAAATGAATTATAATTGCACTATGGGTCAAGATACAGTTTGCAATTGCAGTTTGGGCAATGTATACAACCCAGCTTTTGGGCCAGGTAGGGTGCCAGAAGTGCAATTGCAAACTGTATTGCCTCCCGTCTCTGCTATGTCCTTCTGTCGTTGCTTGCGGCCGGCCGGATTTACTGCTGCTACTACCGTTTCTGCCTCGTCAATATTCAGGCTGGTGCTGGCTCCTCCTCACATGTGGTGCCAACCTCCCTTTCTCCCTGAAGATACCTTCTTTCCTGGAAGCAGAAAAGACCTTCAACTCCTTGGCTGGGTACCTCCACCTCTTAGGCACTGCTTATGCCACCAGTACCTCCGCGTTTTTAGGCCGTTAACGCGGTGGCGCCGCGGGGGTCCATGTGCATTTGCGTCAGAGCCTCCCCAGACGGGGCCTAAGACCCCCTGGGGTACTGCTGGTTTATCTCTACCAGTTCTAAGTCTCATGACCCCAATCCTTGTCTCTGCCACTCTGTGGTGGACCAGAGACCCTCTTGTTTGGTCCTCAGCTGAACCTGTCGTCCCAGTTCATTGACGGAGGACTTGTTCAGTCCAACATGGACTGGACCTCTCTCTCTCTCTCTCTCTCTCTCTCTCTCTCTCTCTCTCTCTCTCTCTCTCTCTCTCTCTC